CAAGCTCAGCGAATTGGGAGGCAACGAAATCCAAAGGACGTGGAACCCGCAGAATCTCAGGAAATATCACCGGTCAACTTAATGTGTATCTTGTTCGTAATGGCGCATTGTCGCAAGAGAATAAAAAGTACAAAGTTCGTCAGAACAAAACAATAGCAATAGTCATGAACTATTCGCGTCCTCAAAAGTTCGTTAGAACAAAACAATAGCAATAGTCATGAACTATTCGCGCCCCCAAAAGTTCGTTAGAACAAAACAATAGCAATAGTCATGAACTATTCGCGCCCCCAAAAGTTCGTCAGAACAAAACAATAGCAATAGTCATGAACTATTTGCGCCTACAAAGTTCGTCGGAACAAAACGATAGCAATAGTCATGAACTATTCGCGCCTCCAAAATTTCGTCAGAACAAAACAATAGCAATAGTCATGAACTATTTGCGCCTACAAAGTTCGTCGGAACAAAACGATAGCAATGGTCACGAACCGTTCGCGCTGATAATCCAAACGAAAAAACCGACTAAAGGCAACAACTATAAACGCGGTCACGCAACTCACATAGAACAAGGAATAAAAGTGCTTTTGGATTTCATAGAACGGGAGCGAAAACACACAGCGCTAAACCAAAAACAGAAAAAAAAAAACATAAAGGCCCTTGACAACAGAATAAGGCCAATAAGACGCGACTACACTCAATCTATGTTCTCAGTGGTAGTCTCCGTGTCCGCCTCATCCGCCTGCACACCAGCCTCGCCTCCCTTGTCCGCGCTAGAATCTCCGCCCTCAACCGCAGCTTCTGTGCGCAAACGATGACGTTCCAGTGGAGCGTCGACCAGGCTGGAAGAAGTCGCAAACGACGCCGCATTCCTCGGGAGCAGTCACATCGCCGTCCCATCGCAGTCATAGGGACCATCATGGATAAACCCCCTAGTCCTAGGTAGAAGTATGGTCTAAAGTCTGACATGTCAGCAGTCATGTCACCCTGTAAACTCACCCACCACCATGTAGCCTATAAATATGACATTTACTCCGGTGGGTGAGGGGATCACAATTTTCAGATTCTATCTCTACAAACATCAACCTCTCTCTCTAAAGACGAATTCCCTCAACCTCGTTCTCCAAGATCTTAGTTCTACATCATACAGTCGATTTTCCTTGCTTACTCCCCTTGACCCACTTTCTTTCCTGAACCTCACTCCTACACTCAGTTAGGTTCAAACAATATGCATATATTTTAAATACTTTACATTTGAAATACACTTATCCAAACCCACTATAAGAAACAAAAGGAGTCTTAAGATTCCATGACTAATTGATTGAAATTCGACAACCATCCGTACCTAGACGAAAAGTATAAGATAAACCAAAAACAAGAAGTTCCAATTGCACTTTCATCTTAATTCCATTTAATTTGGTATAGTAAAAAGGATATTGGTGCTTAACTATCAAGACTAATTAATTAGGTCATGCATGTGCACTAGCTTTGGCATAGACCGACCTCCTTTTCCTTTTTCCTTCCTTGTAGCGAGTCTAGTTTTTGCTAGTACTACTGAAATCTTCGGCTGACCGTTGACTATAAGCAAGCAAACTGCATGGATGACGTACCAAGTGATGTAAATGTCCCTATCCAACATTTCAATTTCTTTTGTTAAAAACACATATGTCTACAAGGCTCTTACACATCTAGTTTCATTCGAATCTTTTCAATAACACTTAATTATAAAAATTAACCTTTGTTATCTTTACAAAAAATAATTAAATAAAATAAAACTTAACTAACTACTAGATAACATGGTGAATGACACGAACAATTAACCTAACATACATCGATTACTAGTTTAATTACATGGTTTTCCGACGACCCTTTCCATGACAATATATATCATCTATCTTTTAGTCCATCTATATTTTGAGACGGGACATGATCACATGAATATGATAAATGAATTTGATCTTGACCATTAACAAAATATATAAATCCCACCGTCCACATGCAGATGTAATCCGCAAAGATTTAGTTTTTTGGAGTGACGCGACTGTGGGCAGGGCCAGGGAACTCGATCGAAGGATCTCGTTCTCAGTGGTGTTGCTAGCCACTGCATCTATATAGATCCAGGTCAGTGCCACGTATGCACGCATGCATGCATTGCCAAGTTGCTAGCTAGCTAGCTAGCTATCACATTTCAAAGAACAGTTGATTATCGGATTAATTGCTTGGTCATTGATATTAAAAAATGTTTATGTTTGGTCACTCGAAATATTTAATTTTATTGGTGATGCCTAACATTAATTAAACGTTTCAACTTTAGTCACTCTCTGTTACCTTCCATTAGTCTCAATTAACGACATCAATTTTTTACTGACGTAGCTAACAAAAATGCCTAATCAGCATATTTAAATACAAAAGAGATTATACCCGACCCACCACATCATCAAAACCAAACCAACCCTTCGCAACCCATCACCCGACCATTCCCCGCCTCCCTGTGACGTTGAACCGAAGGTCGGCCACTACCTCTCTCTCCCCAATCCCCCGACTCGCAGCCGTTCACCTTCCCGATTTTAATGTTACTCTCGTCATCGTCGTCTACCGGGGGTGGATTGAGGATTGTTGTTGATGCTGGTGCTGTCAATGGGCGATCTGAAAAGAAGAGTCGATGAACATTTCTGCCGGAGCTGAAGAGGGTGAAGGGGGAAGCGATAGATCTGATTAAATTTTGGCCCCTTCACAACGCCTATGCCATCTCTGCGGCCGTCAACCTCACCACCGTTTCGGGCGTCAATTATCGATCTTCTTCGTTCTGACACTCTCACTTATTCCCTTCCTCTCCCAGTCCCTCACGCCGGACACCCTGACCGACCGATCTAGGAATTGCTTGATGATTTTCTCGACCCTTCATCTTTCCAGCCTTCGATTGTCATCTTCCCGTCGATCGAGAAACCCTATCAATCGGCGGGTTTGTGTTGGTGAGGATTGAGAAAGAAATGAGGAAAGGGGTTGGAGGCTGGTCTTTGTTGGCGACGGCGGAGAGGAGGGGGAATGGTAGATCTACGTTGGTGAGGAAGAAAAGAGGAAAGGGAAGGGTTTGGTTAGAATGTTCGGGTCAGTTAATTAGTGGGTTTGGTTTGGAAAGTTAAGACCATTAATGGGGTGACAGAGAGAGACAGGAAGTATGTTTGGAAGTAGTCTCAAATTAAATTACTTTCGCTATCCAAAATTCACAAATCTTGTGTACCAGTGTGAATGGGAACAAGAGAGAACTTGATATTCTATTCACACTACTCACAGAGAGATAGTACAAAAGGCGGTGGAGCGTGAGAGAGAGAAGTAATTAGGTTTTGGTTGGATTGTTTGAATTATTTGAGCTAGCTAGCTATACTATATATGCCTAGCTCCTTTGGCTTGTTTGAGTTGTTTGTCTGTTTCGCCGAGTGATGAGTTGGGTTCTTTTGCGCCTGACCAACTGATGATCATGTCGAATCGATCAGATTTGATTGAACAGCTAGCAAGCCACAGCAGCACAAACAAATACAGCCAATATTAAAGCACCGCTCCTACTCTACTCTACTTCCTGCGCTTTAATTATACAGTTTGATTTTTGTTATAATTACATGCCTCCGATCCGATGGGTCATCTCATCTATATATAATATATGGATCTCCCAAATTGAGTACAGTTTCATGAGCTGAGCTGAGCTGACACCAAAGAAATCGGGCTAGCTAGCTAACTACTTGTTGTTGCGGAGTAGTAACCTTAATTCCTAGGTCGGAGATCCGAGCGGCCTGCTATCGGCAGCGGGTGCAAAGGTGGATCCGAGAAAGCATGGTAAGCGGCCACTTCCACCGGCGGCGGCGGCGGCGGAAGAAGACGATGAAAGTACGGGAGGAGGAGGAGGAGGAGGAGGAGATGGTGATCCTTATCACTTATTTGGCGGCCAGATGTCCTCATCGTCTTCTACCTACTGCGGGTGGTCGGAAGAGGACACGTCAGCCATGGTCTCCGCTCTCTCTCAAGTCATCGCCGCCACCGACGACTCAGCTGCTGCGACACAACCCCGATCATCATCCTACAGCTACAACTCTCCTCAGTTTGACCCGACTTCCAACGCCGCACCTACAGTAGCAGTACGGACCCATCACCACCACCACCAGCAGCAGCAGAATCAAGCCCAACCAGATCCCGCAGGTACGTCATGCAAGCTACCCACTTCATCTCTACATAGTCTAATACTCATCTCACCTAGAGGAATTCCTCTTTAATGAATGAATAAACCTTATAGTAAGTAGTGTTATTATTAATAATTAGTTTCCTCTGGATCGGTTCACTTTCTCTTAGGTTTGAGGAAGGATATGTATGAAGTTACAAATTTTATTTTTTAATAATAATTTGTTTGGGATAAGTACTGTAGGCTATATACATGACGGATGTTGGGTGTAAGTTCATTGAATCATATTTGTCGTGTCCCAGTCCATGTCATATATATCGTGATTCAAACCTAACTCTCTCTCTCTCTCTCTCTCTCTCTTTGTCTCTCATCATCATCACCATTTAACCCGATGACCATTTTTTTGTCATTTGCTCATAATATTTTAATTAGTTGTCACATTTTGTATATACAGCAAAGCTCTTTCGTTCGACGGAATGATGACCTTTAAGGATCATACAGGATAGACACGATGTTTACTGTCTCGATGAGATTAATAACATTAACATTATTTAATTTAATCCCGTCATTAATTGGTTTCGTTCCGTGAATGACTTGCATTCTTTCCACGTTCAATTCCTGGATTTGACTCTGTGTACGTACCCATTTGACATTTTCTCCTCCTTTTGTCGGGTTTCTTTTTACTTTCTGTCTGCTGTTTGCTGGTTGGTTTGGCTTCCTATTCAAACTCTGCCTAATCCTAATTCCAAAATGTTGACCTGACCTCCTTAAGCGGTACTTTATTATTAATTAATATATATGTATTATTATTATTTACCTAGCTATCACGTTGGTGAACACAGGAAATACGAGGAAAAGGCACTACAGAGGGGTGAGACAAAGGCCATGGGGGAAATGGGCGGCCGAAATACGGGACCCGAAGAAGGCGGCCAGGGTCTGGCTGGGTACTTTCGACACTGCCGAGGATGCAGCTGCTGCATATGACAAGGCGGCTCTCAAGTTCAAAGGCACCAAAGCCAAGCTCAACTTCCCAGAACGAGTTCAAGGCCAATCCTTCTCCACCTACGGTTCCAGCACCAGCGTCGTCTCGTCAACACCTCCGCGTCCACCTGCTGCAGCACTGCCGCCGCCGCCGCCGCCGCCTTCGACTCAGGTACCGCCACACGGCGGCTACCCTCACCTGCTTCAGTACGCCAACATCCTCTCAAGCGACCGTGAATCCGATTTTCAGTACCACGCTTCAAACCTCTTCATGAGTCAACAGCAGGATCCGTTCGCTCATCCCCACTCGTCTTCCACGTTTTATCATGTCCACGATGATGCTAATCAGCAGCAGCATGGTCATGATTATGATATGACGAGATATCACTCGCCTTCACATCGTGATTATCATCACCAGCGAGGTCATGATGGACATGGGAATGATTCCACCACGTCCGACCAATAGCTCAGTAACCAAAATCCTCCTTGTTAGTGATGGAGGATTTTGAATTTTGATTCCTCTGTTTCCCGTATGTTTATTTTTGCCGGCTGCTTAATTATTAATTATGAAAATGCTCATTATATATTTCCTGTATTGTTACTCTACGAATAGGAAAATAGAAAAAAATGACAAAGTAAAAAAATAATTAAGGAAAGAATGCACGCGACAACGAAATTACAGGCTCCACTAATATAACATGTGTTAGCTAGCTCATAAGGAGAAAGTGAGTTTTACTATATTTTGAGGAGATACATATTATATAGGACTATATATGAGAAGTATTATATATAGTAACACTAGTTTAATATGGTAAAGAAAAACGGTTATAAAATTTTGTAACAGCAAGACCCCGTGATATCCAGTTATAACCAAGTAGTCCGATTCAAATTACACCAACCACTGCTTTACATTTTGCTGCCATGAACTCTCTCTATAATCTATATACATATATCGTTTGTTTATATGATGATGGGACTTCCGAGTTCCTATTGTTTATTTCCCTCCCTTTTCAGGTTTTCTCCCTTTTTTTTTCCTGCTGTATGTATTGATCGTCGACAGAGATCTTCTATATAAGGCGTTTGCGCATGCAGCTGGGGCCTCACCCACTTGCTTTCTTCGGTGGGGCTCTTTGATAAAGAAACCCAAACTTCCCCAGAAAGGCCAAAACCAAAACTTGTGTCAGGTCTCATATGTGCAGGAAATGAACTAAAGGCTAAAGCATGATGCATCATGTTTCTAACCAATACGACAAAAAAAAAAAAAAACAAAGTGTAAGAAGCTATAGGCTTAGCTACCTTTCTCTCGATCTCCTGTTTTTTCCTTCTTTCGTTTGGGTTCTCTTATTTCTTCTTCGGTTCTTTTTATTCCCTTTTCCCGTAACATGTCGTCCTTGACACGAATATATAGAGGAAATCATGATTCAGTGCCAAACGCATGATAAAAGGTCAGTAAAGCGCATGAAATCGGGGGATGGGAGATGTTGAGGGACGGTGGTTATTTTGCATGCTTTAGGCTTTCCGACGTCAAACTTTGCGGCTCTCACTCGATTGCTCTCTTTTGAAAATGCCCCATTGTGAGATATGCACGGCCAGAGAGTCGCAATGGAGTTTGGTTAAGGTGCTAGATGGGGCGGGTTTTGTTATGTAGTGTTATATATGTTGCGGTTACTTAAACCGTATTTAGTATTTGGTCTTGTTGGGCCACGTTTGATTCTTCTCGACCATGGATTAGTCTCGATCAATCAATCGATCGAGGATACCACGTATAATTCCTTGTCTCGTGTTCATTTATTTCCGCATCATTAAATTCTACATGGTATCAGAGTGAAACTCGATCCCCTGTCTAGGGTTTTGAGCTTCCGCAATCCGCATTTGTTGCCTCTCCGGCAACATCATTCGCCCTGGCGATAACAAGAACAGAAGCGACAGAAGTCAGTGGCGATCCGTCTCCATCAAGGCCTACAATCAAGTCTTGTTTTCCGTAATCTCCAAGGTGGCCTCGCATCTGCCTGTAAGTCTCAAATCCGCCGCCGAGTCCGTCCAAATATCAGCGCCGTCCATAAGTCTCATTCAGCAGGAGTTCTGCCGGCGCTCCGTCCAGTTCGCCGGTCCCCTCCACCAGCCGGATTCATCTTCTCCTAAGGTCGACGATGCTATCCCCAGTCAACTCCATGAAGGTGACCGATCAATCAACCTTCATTCAGTCACAGTCGTTCGCCGACTCAGTCATCCCGGCGTCGCTACCAGAGCCCGCATCGCCGTCGTCGCCGGCAATGCCAGATTTCTAGATCCGCCATCATCGTCCCGGCCGTCATCGTCTAGTCACCATCCGGATGAGCCACCAACATCGATCCGCTCCTGTCTCCACTTTCGCCAGTCCTTCATCGTCAAGGGGAACCCAGCATCAGATCGGGGATCGTGCCACGCCGTCAACCTAGTATCTCAAATCGGCAACGTGATTTCAATCAAACAATCAAGCGTCGCCGGCCAGTCAACGCTCATGTCGTGGCCATTTGCGGCCTCTCTCTGCAGCTGTCCTCTCCAATCTCGACGTCCCCTAGATCAGTCACGGTCTTTGTGAAAAGAACAGCCGATGTCCACTCCGGCCTCCGACTTTGGATAGTATCGTCCCCGCCTCTGCTCCATCCGTAGTTCGACGGTGAAGTCCTTCCCGCCGTCGAGAATGAGATCTTCAGATCTGCCGTAGATTGTAGCCGAGGAGCCATCATCGTTGCCACCGCCATCAACTTCCGTCATTGTTGTCTCGAGCGGTATCGACGCACCACGGTTGATGATGTCGTTGTCGTTCCTCACCATCGTCATCAGCTTCTGTGTTGTCGTTTTGGCCAACTAAAGTTTGGGTATAGCTTCCAGATGCTCCATTCGCGCAGAGGAAGAAGGAGTAGGAAGGGAGCCAGCGGTGCTCTTCCAAAGCAAAAAAAAAAAAAAAAAAGTTTCAAACCCTCGCTTAATCAACGACCCATTTCAGACAAAGCAAGGACCATATGCTGGGCCCATATCATTGGTCAAAATTTCTTATTCTCATGTGGCGTGGAGATAAACTTTGCTGCATTGGAGGAATATTACAGGAGCAGAAAGCCTCCTTGTTTTTGGGCCAACATCAACAAGAAAATGGGCCACCTCAAATCTGTCTCCATAGTGTGGGCTCATGTGGCGAATTAGCCCTTGTGGGCTCCTGGTTTGAGCTTTTTATGGGCTCTTCAATTAATTTTTGGGCTAGCTCAAATATAGTCAAGTATCGATGGAGACATTCACGTTCCATAAATTGGTCGTCCCCTGGCGTTCAAAAAGTAGTACGATCAAAGAAGCAATCATCCCTTCATCGTCCAGCTGGCATTCACGATCCAAGAAATGGTTGTCCCCTCTTCCGGTTCATTAGTGGACACATATCAACCATTCATCGCTTTTCAAGCTGGGCATTCACGTTGTTCATGCTCCCGCTTGAGGGGGATAATAGGAGGTCAACATACGTAGGTCGACTAACTCAGTCATTAGGCCGACCGCGATGTACCAGGTGTGTTCAAGTTCAAGAGATGCATTCAATCGTCTCCATCACTAGGTTGTTCAGAGAGAGTCACTCGTCTCCAATCAACCTCGTCCGAGATGTTATTCATCTCGAGTTTTGTGGTTCAAGCCATCATGCTTGTTCCTCACATTTACTTCTTCAAGCTCGACATTCTTGTCATTCATGTCTTCGCTTGAGGGGGAGTGTTGCAGTTACTTAAACCGTGTTTAGTATTGGGCCTTGTTGGGCCACGTCTGATTCGTTGGATTAGGGTTTTAACCCTAAGTTTATATATATAAGCTTAGCTATCGACTTGTGTGAGAGCAAGCCGTCACAATGTAGTCGTTAATAAAACGTCAGCCGTGAGCTCTTCCGAGCTCACCGTGGATTAGTCTCGATCAATCAATCGATCGAGGATACCACGTAAAATCTCTTGTCTCGTGTTCATTTATTTCAGCATCATCAAATTCTACAATATAAAATGAATGTGGACCATATAATTATCGGGTAACGCCATGGTTCAAAAAGACACGTTTAACCTTACATTTAGACATGTTTAAGCGCAAGGCAATGACAAAATGCCTCGCCTAGGGGTTTCGCACCTAGTTAGTTATCGAAACACGTCAATGGAGTAAGGCGACATATTAGCCTCTTCTAAACATAACTAGATGGAGCTAGGAATTCGATATTAAATGAGAAAATTAACGTCAACTACAAATTCAATTTTCTATATCTATATTTTCAATCGCTCAAGCACTTTGTGAGCTATTGAGCTATGATTCTATGAATTCGAGAGCTATGTTCTTGTCTTTAAGTGTTGAGCAAGTTATTAATAATTTTAACTGAACTGAGGAAATGTTGTATGTTATTATTTCATTCATCTTTCATAGTGAATAGATATTTTTCTTCAAACGCCTAGGCACGCTTAGTCTACGCATAGGCGAGCTAGGCGCTAGGTAAAGGCCCAATGCCCGCCTTACGCCTAGCGCCTTTTTGAACCTGGGGTAAGATTGATGTATTCTTGTGGTATAGTATATCTCAGGTACTTTTAGTGAGATAATTCTATTTAGACCATAAATTAAATCGAGTTTGGGATATAATAGATTAGTTTGGCCCTGCTGTAGCTTTTGCAGAAGCAGCTTTTGGCTGAAGCTTTTAGATAAATACTTTTCAAAAAAAGCAGTTTAGTGTTTGGCTCTAAAACTATTAGAAGTGGTTTTTTAATATGATCGGTTGTGTAAAATGACTATAAAGGACTTATAATATAAAATAAAAATAAAAATTCTAAACAATAAAAAGTAGTCAAAATGGATCTTGTTAGATTTATTTTATATTAAATAATATGATTTTATAATTTATTTTATTTTTAAAATGATATAAATAAAGGAAAATTATATTTCTGAAATAAAATTAAAATATAGTAAGGATAATCTTGTATTTTCAAAACAGCTTTTCGCAGAATCTCCAAATCGGAGCTTCTGCTTTTATGTTATAAAAAAACGCTTTTCGACTTTTCAAAAGCCGAGCTTTTAGAGGTGTTTGGCCCTGTTTCAGCTTTTGAAGCCGAAAAGCACTTCTAAAAGTCGGGCCAAACATGGGCAATATTATACTCTAATCTCTAATGGAATAATGGATAAATCCCATGTCCCAATTATGAATTATCTAAACTCAAACCCGAAGTTCAATTTAATAGAAAATAATAATTGAGACTTCAGATTGGTCAGAGCTCTTCAAAGTACATCCACTACAAAAAAGACAGTTATGACCAGACGTTTGGCGTTGGAAAAGACTTTTTTTCGTTGGAAATGACTAGTTACGACGAAATACAGTCATTGGTCGTCATGGGAAAAATTCTCATCGCAAAAAGTGGAAATTCGTTAGGGCGTCATAAAAGAATTGTTTGTGACAAATATTTGGTTGTCGTTACATAAATTATTGTG